CACTAACAGGACTGACTGACTTTGAAGCTTTCATATTCGGAAATACTCTCCTGGAGTCTCAGCCAGCTGCTCCTTTAAGGTGGGGCTTCTTTCCCTGGAGTGTGAAACTGCCAACATAGCAAGTATTGGGTTGGCCAAAAAGTCCATTCTGTTTTTTCCGTAAAATAAATGACACATTTTTCATTTTCATGGGTAACTTTATTTTTTTTAAAAAAAAAGCTTTTTTTAAAAGATTTTATTTATTTATTTTTTTAGAGAGGGAGGGAGGGAGGGAGGGAGAGAGAGAGAAACATCAATGTGCGGTTGCTGGGGGCCGTGGCCTGCAACCCAGGCACGTGCCCTGACTGGGAGTTGAACCTGCGACACTTTGGTTTGCAGCCCGCGCTCAATCCACTGAGCTACGCCAGCCAGGTTCATGGGTAACTTTATTAATGTGGCTATTTTGAGTATGTTGGCTATCTCCTACGTGGTACAACGTTGATTGTTTTCAATGAATGTCTCAATTTGATCATTATCAACTTCAGCTGGCCCACCCGACCGTGGAGCACCGTCCAGTGAGAAATCTCCAGCAGGAAACCCCACAGACCACCCTTGACACCTTTGACCAGCCACGGCACCTTCTCCACACACCGCACAGATCTCTTCTTCATTTCGGTAGTGTTTGAACCTTTCCTGAAGTAATAAAGCATACTCTACCGAGTTGTTGCTTATCTTCTTCCATCTTCAATATTAAAATGGCTACACAGAAATTCAATTTTGATAAAAAAATTTTAAATGAAGACTGATATGACAACCGTCACAGTCCAGCCTAACAACATTGTTTCCGATAAACTTAAAGACAACTAAGCGCTACTGGAGCCATCTTACAGCAGGGAGTGGTGGGGGACAGCTTTTTGGCCAACCCAGTAAGTTGCAAGCTGCTCCATAGACGGATAATATATATAGAATGCTTAACTCAGTGCCCAGCATGTGATGAGGTTTCAGTGAGTGCAGACTACTGGTAGCTGTAGCAGTAACTGAGAATATGTCTCATTTGTGGGCGCATCTCTGGAAATTCTTTGTACTGATAATTATCCCACGCATATCAAAGACCAAGGGGAGAAGTAAAATTCTGCTTTTGATGCATTCTCGGCCATGCCCCGCGGAGCAAGGTGTGTTTGTGAGTCGTAGGTGATGTCAGGCAGCCCCCGGACACCCGCCCCTCTGGTTCTAGGAGGAAAGGTGATGGACACCCGTGGTCCCAGCCCCCTCCTCTGGGAGCGCATGCACAGGCCCAGAGGGGGCAGGGGTTTGCCTGAGGTCACGCAGAGGGGTGGAAACTCCTCCCATCCCACCGACTTGGAAATACTGACTCTTAAATGTAGAATTAAACTTCCTTTGGAATCAAAACATTGTCTAAGTGTACCGTCTGTGTCTTCGAGGGGCCTCGAAGCAGGTGTGTAGGGACAGAGGGCTTTTGTGTACCTGTGGGGTCTGTTTCCCCAGCTCAGGCTCAGCGTAGCCCCTCCTGCAAGAAAGAAGCGGCAGTTTGGGGCCCTTGGCTCCGCCCCCAGGGGAAGAAGTGCCGGATTCCCAGCGAAGGGGAACTTGTGATAAACGTGGCCGGCAGCGTGGACAGGACAGGCACTGGCCCGCCGTGTGTCCGTGGCGCAGCCAACAGAATAGTGAGGACTCCACTGAAAGTGGAGTTCCCGCGGCTGATTCTGCAATGATCGTACAAGTACCTCTGGGTGCCGCGCTAATTTTGATAGATTTCCGTTCACTTCACTAATTGTGAAGATTTAAAAGTAGGGGAAAAAAATCAAGTCCTTGATAGAAAACAATGGGAAGCCTAATAGCTTTTTAAAAATGTAATTTGCAACGGTGAACAAATCTCACCCTAGGTTTTCAGATTTTTGTTGTTGTTGTTTTGATGACTCTTTATATCCCCCAATTATCAGTGTCCTGGACTGAACTGCATTGTTTCACTTTGTCGTATAAACAATCCGTTTCTTAAGTTCTTACTGAGTTTTGCCATGCTTGAAAACGCACGAAAGTAAAAAGATCGACAAGTGTTAGATACTGTCTTTTATTATTTTAGATAGATTTATGTGTATTAACTGGGTAAATGTGTAATGACTTAATATTCAACATGGGCAGCAGGCGGTAGTTCACATTTATTTAGTAAAAAATGTGCTGCCAAAATTCCACAACGGATCTGGTAGCGTCAGCAGCTGCACCGTCGGGGTCACAGCCTCAGCTCCGCCGGCCTGGCGACCCCACTCAGTACCCAGCGGCCCGAGGCAGGGACGAGCTTTCTGGGAGAACAAAGTTCGAGCACCGCACGAGTCAGCATGTTGACTGATTCATGGTTGGGTTGAAGATGCAGGGTTTTCGGGGGCCAGGATACTCTTCTCCGTAGTCATGTGCGTTTACTGAGTACCTACCGACTGTGCGCCTGCTCGGAGACACTCCGTCATCTGCAAAGGGCAGGGGTGCTCGTGGGGGCAGAGAGTTCCCACGAGGTGGGTGGGGAATCCGTTTCTATCCAAGTGCTGGATCTCATCAGCCCGTTTGGTCACAAATTTGACTTGCGGAAATTTGGCTTAGGTTTTTGCATCCATGTTTATGAGAGGTGATGGTTTGTAGTTTTCTTATCGTATCTTTGGTTTGGGTGAGTTGGAAGCTTTTCTGTGTCTTCAGTTTTCTGGAAGGGGTTGTGTAGAATTAATACAAATTCTTCCTTAAATGTTTGATAGAAGCCAGTTGGGCCTGGAGTTGTGTGTGCGTGTGTGTGTGTGTGTGTGTGTGTGTGAGGTATTTAACACCACACTCACATTCACCTGGGTGGTCTGTTTTCTCCGGAGTGAGTTTTGGTTGTCTGTATTATTCTTGTTTATGTTGCATTGATTCCCACTCTGATCTTTTCTGGTCGGTTGGTTGGTTCGTTTTCCTGCTTACTTTGGGTTTAATTTGTTCTTTTTTGAGTTTTTTAAGGTAGACATTTAAATCATTCATTTAAGACCTCTCTTCTTTTCCAATGTAAGCATTTAGTGCTGTAAGTTTATCTGTGTCCTGCCTTCGTCCATCCCCAAATTTTTGTATGTTGTGTTTTCATTTTTATTCAGTTCAAAATACTTCTAAATTCCCTTTTAGTTTCTTCTTTGATACAAGAGATTATTTGTAAGTGTCTTGTCTATATTTCAACTATCTGGGGATTTTTCAGATCTCTTTCTATTACTGGTTTCTAATTTAATTCTATTACGTTCAGAGAATAAACTTCATATGATTTGACTGTTTTTAAACGTATTGAGACTTTTTGCATAATCTGTTATTTTGCAATTCATCTTTTATTTGTTCCTCTGTTCCTTGCTCCCATGTTCCTCGTCATGCCTTCCTTTGGATTAGTAGACAATTTTGCATCATGTCATTTTAGATCTTTTGTTGGTCGATTAGGTCTGACCGTTGGTTTTATTATTTTAGTGGTGACTTTCAGGCTCATTGGATGTGATTTCTATTCTGTCTTCAGGTGATATCACAGCAGCCCGCCTGTCACTCCAGTGTCTGCACTTATATTCTTCCACTTCTTTCTCCTGGCCTGTAGGCGCTTTTTTTAAGCTATTTTTTTAGATTTTATTTATTTATTTATTTGTTTGTTTATTTATTTAGAGAGGGAAGGGAGGAAGAAAGAGAGAGAGAAACATCAATGTGCGGTTGCTGGGGGCCGTGGCCTGCAACCCAGGCATGTGCCCTGACTGGGAATCGAACCTGAGATGCTTTGGTTTGCAGCCTGCGCTCAATCCACTGAGCTACGCCAGCCAGGGCTGTATGCGCTTTTTGTCCTACATTTCACTCATCATCGATTATAATTCTCACAAGATCATATTACTATTATCAGTTAGGTGGTCAGTTATATTTTAAACATATTTAAGTAGTAAACTGTTCCGTATGCAGCCATGCGGTCACTGTATCTAAGGCTTTTCACGCCTTTGCACAGCTCCTTCTTTTTATCCACTCATCTCTTTTCCGCCTTCTAGACTTAAAAATAAAAACGTTTTGGTCTGTTGATGATAAATCCTGTAGCTTTTGAAAGTCTGCAAATATCTTTATTCTACTTTTGTTTTCGAGGGGAATTCTAAGTGGACAATGTGTTCTCCTCCACCGCTTTAAAAGTGCCGCTGTACTACCCCCCACGTTATTTTGGACGAGAACTACGGGCGTCCTCGTCTTTCTCCCTCTGTGTGCAACACACAGACTGTTCAGATTGTTCTGCGGATAAACTTCGCCCAGACAGCCGAGGCCAGGCCGCTGGAAGAGGAGCCCTGGGCCCAGTGGTCGTGTGGGCCATGTCACCGTGTGGGCCATGTCACCGTGTGGTCACCGTCACCATCTCCAGCCTCTCTGACCCTCTTGCACTTCCTGTGGCCTGTTAACGACCAAGTCTCGGTGCCCAACAGACCACCGTTACATAACTGCTCATTTTTTGAGCACTTGGTTTGTGCTAGGCGTTCATCCTGCCTAGAGATTTATACAGATGACGTAAATTTAACTTTTCCTAGCAATTGCTTCGGTGGTCAGCACGCACGACCATGAACCTGAGCTACGGCTGCAGACACTCTGGTAGAGATGGCTGGCTGGCGCACACTCGCAGGTGCCGCCGTGGGGTTCGGATCCGATTATGGTGCACCCGGGTCTCCGCCCCTCTGCCCCACACCTCACAGCTGCCCCCTCCAACCGGAAGGTCCGCCTCCTCCTGCGTACCCGGGACAGCGGGGTAGCAGCGCATTGTTTCAGCCAGCGAGTCCATGCTAGTCTTTTCCCCTTGTAGAGGCTTCCCCCTCGCTGAGCAACAGTTTCCCTCATTAAGAATGAAAACAGGTAGAAAATGACGAGCATCCTGGCAAGTGGCGGCAGGGCGGAGGGAGGCAGGTTGCTGTAGGCCAGAGGGGAGGGCTTCCATCCTTTGACACTGACCGTGAACTGCGGCTCATCTGCTCGTGCTGTGTGTTCTCCTCACCCAGTGCCTCGCCACGTGGGAGTCCTTCCTCTCATCGCAGAGTGACCTCTGCTCCAAAGAGCCCTGCGAAGAGGACCCTTGACCCCGCGGGAGACTTCCGTGACCTTCGGGAGGGAGCACCGCTTCGACAAAGTCATTCTCTCCGGATGGGCCGTGCCCTTGACGCAGTGGGCGCAAGACGCTCCACACTGTCTGGAAGACCGACCAGCTGAGCTCAGGTATTCCAGATCGCTGATGTAAGTTGGGAGATATCTATATGTCTATATATACATGTATGTATATGTATAAATCTTTGGCTTAGTTTCAATTATGTTCTTAAATTTATATGCCAATAATGAAATATAGAAATTTTTCTCTTGCGTATTTGTCTGTGGACATGTCATTTTAAATATATTATAAAGACTCGATTTTAATAAAAAGTTTCATATGAAAGGACGGGCCGTGGTCTGTTCCTTTCCTGCACGGAGCTCAGGCCTCTGGAGCGGGTTCCAATGCGACGCCGCGTTCACCTGGGTTTCGTCATCATTTTCTCTGGACGTGATTCCCTTCGATATAAGGAATTCGAAATAAACAGAAAAATGGTTTAATATTATTAAACATTACTGATGACTGTTCCGAAGTTGGTTTGTTAAACGTTAAGCACTTGTTTTCCACAATTTAAAAAAGGTACCAAAATAGATTTAGATTATTATTATTTGAGTTATTAAATTAAATGCCATTATACAATCGTATTCCCTCTAGTAAAATTGTTTTGATATTTTTTTACACCGTCTTCACTGCTCCTATCTAGCTCTTCTTTTTAGAGTACACGGCGTTTATCAGATTTATTCTTCCCTTTATTAACCAAACGTCTACTGTGCGCGAGGCTCAGTCCCTGTGCTCGGGACCCACGGTGGTGAAAACGGCACAGCCCACTGCCCCGCTCCCTAGACTCACATCCCAGTTCTAGCAGCCATGCACAGCGATTTCCTGTTCCTTCTATGGCCGTGTTTGACCACTGAGTACGTGATAGTAATGGAGTATTTGCTAGGTTCAGGGAATAGATGTTGCTCCGGACTCGAGCAAAGTCGGAGGCGTTGGGTCCTGCACGTGACGTTGCACACACAGACTTCTTCGTTTGGGTATAAGCCCTACAATGAGTGCCACACCCAAACACCCAGACACGTGAAGCATCTTAACTGTGTTAGTTCAGATTCTTTTGTTTCAACAGGAGACATGAGCACATCTATAAATGCAAGCCTCAACCCTTGTCTTAAATACCGGCCTGTGGAATTGTTAAACCGTTTGCAGTGACGACGCTGGCTCCCTTGTCCGTGCTTGCTGACAGCTGGAAGCCCTGCCTCCCCCCTCCCTCCTGCCCATGCGGGGCAGCCGCTAAGGCAGCCAGAGGGCGCCCTCGTGGGGCTCTGGGAGGGAGTTCACACTGTGCGACCCCCTCTCTGCGTGGACTTTTCATCACCTGCCTTTCGGCTGTCGCTCCCCGCCCTGCCCCCACTCCCTCAGGCCGAAGAAATCACTACTTGGCTTTTTCTGCCTATCTGCCCATCCAGACCTGCCTATTCTGGGTATTTCATATTAACAGAATCATATAACACGTGACCTTTGTCTCTGGCTTCCTTCCTATAATGTTTTCAAGGTTCACTCACGTTGCAGCATTTGTGAATACGCTATTTTCGTTTATGGTCAGAAACACCCCATTGCATGGAGAGACCGCCCTTTCTTTGTCCGTTATGTTGGTGTATCCTCTCATGACAGACCTGGGGCCGTTTTCACCTTCGGCTTTCACGAGTAACGCTGCTGTACAAGTGTGTGTGTGTGAGTGTGTGTCCTCATTCCCCCCGGGGCCTACGCCTGGGAGAGAAATGACGGGGTCGCATCGCAGCGACACGGAACCGTTTCCGGAGCTGCGAGACTGTCTCCGAGGAGGGTGTCCCGCACCACTCTCCGTGCCCACCAGCCGTGGGTGCAGCCCTGACTGCCCCACCGCCCGTCACTCCTGCTGTCTTCTGCTCTTTTCTTCTATTCCTTGGCGCCCTTGTGGAGGGACTGGGGTCGCTGCTGCTTGAACCGCACTTCCTGCTGTGCCTTTTCGGGTGCTTGCTGGCCGTTGTGTGTATTCTCTGGAGAGAATGTCAGATCTTCTGTGCATTGTTAAAGTTGTGTCTCTTTATCATTGAATTGTAAGTTATTTGTATATTCTAGATCTGAATCCTGATTAGGTTATGACTTGCAAATATTTCTTTTCAGTTTCTGGATAATGTGCTTTGAAACCTAGAAGGGTTTTTTGTTTTGTTTTGTTTTGTTTTGTTTTAAGATTTTATTCATTTATTTTTAGAGAGGGAAGGGAGGGAGAAAGAGAGAGAGGGAAACATCAATGTGTGGTTGCTGGAGGTTGTGGCCTGCAACCCAGGCATGTGCCCTGACTGGGAATCGAACCTGCGACACTTTGGTTCCCAGCCCGTGCTCAGTCCACTGAGCTACACCAGCCAGGGCCGAAACCTAGAAGTTTTTACTTCTGACGATGTTCAGCATATTTCGTGTTTCTCTCGTTGTCCATGCCTCTGGCGTCGTGTCCAGCAGTCCATCACTGAGCCCAAGGTCATGCGGATGTACCCCGTGCGTTCTTCCCAGAGCCTCCACGTTGCGGCCCAGGACTCGAACCCACATCGAGGCAGTTACGGTGCGGGATGGGAGAGCAGGGTTGCGCTTTCGCCCCGTCGCCTGGGGACACCCCCCTGCCCCGGCACCGTGTGCCGGGGAGACTGCCTCTCATCCTCGCCGCCCGGGGGACCGGTCCCTGCAGCGCCCGGGTGGGTCTCCTGGACCGGTCGTGACGTGTGCTGCGATGGCCTTGTGGGTAACATGAAGTGTGACAACTGGGCACCTTGGCATCGAGATCTGTTGTGCTGGGACCACAGCCAGATAACCCACTTGCCTTTGACCTAGAAGAAAGATCGGCCCTCAGGTGACACGTACCTTTCACTCCACACCCGCCTTCTTGCAACAGCTGCTTCCCAAAGCACAGGTTCCGTTCTGTCTGGTTCCTTCCCCCCAGCAGAGCGGTCTGCTGATCCAGGAGACTGTCTCACTGTTTAAAAACCAGCTGCAGAGGGACAGGCCACCTTCGGGGAGAAGTGGACGTTGCCTGGACCAGAGCCATTCTGGCAGCACGAGTCTGGCATCCAGCTCACAAACTCAGAAATCGCGGTTCCGGGCGTTTTATGTAATAACGGCTTTGGATAAACGGTTGGAGGCATCGAGGTAGAAGTAAGTTCTGAGCATACTGTAAAAAGCAAATACAGGCATTTTAGCATTTAAAATTCTGAGCCCCGATTTCCCATCTGTGGAAAAGGGGAATTAATCTGCCAGATGTACATTGCTGGGAAGTGTGAGAATAAATTATACACAGCTGACTTAGCCTATTTACTCTGAGTCCCCCCCACCAAAAAGCATTAAATTCTGCATCAGTCTCCCCCTGTTCCCCTCCCTGCCCGCACCCCAGTGCCCATCCATGAGTTCAGGCTGAGATAAAGCAAGCTAATGGTCATCGTTAACAAAGGTGTATTAAGAAAGGCTCCACATGGAATGCATGTATGTGACTATAAATAGACATTGACACACATGTGGGTTCCTGTTTATGCACACAGGTGCATGTGCGCATGTGTAGTATATCCGTGTGTGTGTGTGGTGATTCGTGGAAAGACACGTGAATTAGAAATTGCTGGAGCAGGAGGCCAGCGGCAAGCACACTGCTTCTTCGGTCCTGCCTCCTTTTCTATGACAGCTCCGTGGGGGTTGATGATGCCTCGATGATCCCCATCATCGGGTTACTGAGCAATGAGGTCCTTTTAAACAGGACAGCTGTGGGTGTGCGTTCACCATCCTCAGCGAGTGTAACTGGTTTTTTTTTTAATTTTTATTTACTGATTTTTTTGGAGAAAGAAAAAATACACATCAATTTGTTGTTCCACTTTTTGACGCATTCATTGGCTGATGCTTGTATGTGCCCTGACTGGGGATCGAACCTGCAACCTTAGCCTCTCGGGACAACACTCTTATTACATACATGCCAAAGGTCAAAACTGAGCTTCCGCAGTTCCTGTTTATATTTCTCTTAATGTAAGTCATGGAGATTGAAGAGACTGTTTGTATTTTTTGTTCTAAATCGTAACAGGGTAATTTTTGGGTAAGATCAGAAGAACAATGCTCTCTCATTCGGGGGAAGTCATCCCTGAACGCGCAATTTAAAGAGCTCATCAGAGCTGCTTAAATGAGGCATCTGATAATTATGCACAAAAGATGTTCTCTTTCTACTTGAAGTATTATGATTACTGATTTTAAGATTAAATTATCGCTTTTAAGTGGTGTGTTTGAACCATCTGAGGTTGTGAAATCTTTTGAACCTCTTTGCTTTGAAAATCTCCATTCACGCATCCATTCCTGTGCTAGTCCACATGCCCCATGGCTGACAGGTGGTGCCGGACACCGTCACCTGGGCAGTGAGAACAGCATCGGAAAATCAGAGAAAGGCGACCTGCCCTCAGTAAGCTGAAAGTGCCGTGAAAACACCAACATCGTCCGTAAATAATAAATACATCCCAACCGATGCACCGTTCATCTCCAGGGCGGCCATCAGGAAGTGCCCGGAACTCGGTGGCTTAGAGCAACAGAAATGTCCCGCCTCGCAGGCCCAGGGGCAGGACGTCCGAGGTCAGGGTGTCGGCAGCACCCCCTGCTCCGTGCGGGCTGTAAGGGAGGGTCCCTCCTGGCCTCTCCCGGCCTCTGCCGCTGGCTGGCAGCCCTGGTGTTCCTCGGACAGAGGCATCGCCCCGGGCACGGGGCCGCCCCTCCCTCTGCGTGTTCAGGTCCTCTTCCTGCCGCGGGCCCGTCTCTGCGTCCAGACTTGCTCTGTTCGCAGGACGCCAGTCATAACGGATGAGGGCCCACCCCGGGGACCTTGTTTTAACGGGGCCGCCTCTGTAAAGACCCTATTTCAAAAAGAAGGGCACATTTTGAGGTGCTGGGGGTCAGGACTTCAGCACGCCCTCTCTGAGGGACACCCCCATAACAATGCAAAACTGCAAACCGGTGAGCGTTACAATGCAGAGACAACTAAGAGAACCACGTGGAGCATCGATGTTTCTAAATCCTCACCTGAGGGTCTGTTTATTGATGTCTGGAGAGAGGGGCAGAGGGAGAGAGAGAAACATCGATGGGAGAGAAGACCACCCATCGGTTGCCTCCCGTACGGGCTCCGACCAGGGACCGAACCCTCACCCTGGGCATGTGCCCTGACCACGGATCGCACCCACTGCCCTCTGGTGCCCAGGACAGTGCTCCGACCAGCTTTGCCGCTGGCCAGG